TCTCACAGGACTCCAGCATGACACAAGATCTGTCACTGTGACTGATGAAGAAAAAACCCAGAGCACTCAGTGATCATGTCTGAAGATTATCAGAATCACAGAACATGCAGACATCCCAAGATGCCAGCCAACACGTGTCCTGCTGTTTCTTCACCAATCAGAGCTTTAACACCCAATCTGTTCCCCTCACCTTGGTAAGACTTTATTAAGACACAGAAATGCTGCCACATCCTGAAAACACCTAATCCAGATCAAATCCCTCCACCTTAAAGCCTCCTGCTAAAACCACCCAGCCCAGGTCCATCCTGTGACAAATCCCTCTGAATACCTGCTGTGAGATTCCTGCCTTCCTTATGGGTGAGTGAAGCCCCCTTCACTGAGCTGGGCCTCTGACCTGTCTGCTCCTGCTCTTAGCTGGAAGGCGCTGGCCCAGATTAAGTGGAATAAGCAAGGTGCAAACCACATGTTTACAATTTGTATAAAATTATGCAAAAGTAAAAGGATGTATCTGTTTGTGTATGCACAGAATTTCCGTGGAAAAACACACGGGAAAATTATTTAAAAATAGTTGTCTCGGGCCAGGGATTTAGCTCAGTGGTTCCACTGCCTGCCTCGCAAGCAGAAGGACCCGAGTTCAATCCCCAGTACCAAAAAAACAAAAACAAAAAAAAATAGTTGTCTCTTGTGGAGCCCTGCCTGGGCAACAAGGTGAAACCCTGTCTCAAAGTAAGAGTGGGGTTGCCAGGGATGTAGCTTAGTGTGAAGGCCCTGAGTTGTTCATTCTCTAGTACAGCAAAAGCAAAGACAGAACCAAAACCTAAACAAACAAACAAATAAATAAAAGGCTGTCTCCTGATTGGAAAACTAAAAGTTGAGGCATGGAGGTGAGAGGGAAAGATTTTTCAGTATATTGTTCGTTATTATGTTCATTGATTATTTAAAATTAGTAATTTTTTTTGTTTTGACAGTTTCCCTATGTATTCAGGGTAGCCTCAAACTCCTGGAGATTCTCCTGCCTTAGCCTCCTGAGTGTTGGAATTACAGGTGTGTACTACATCTGTCTCTAAAATTAATTACTTAAAAAAATTTTGTATAGCAAAACATTTATTGGTACATTTTAGACATACAGAATAATACTCATCATAGAGAATTTGTACCTGTACGTGATACCTCCCACCTTTTTTCCCATTCCCCTCCTCCCCTATGTACAAAAGCTGTTTCCATTTTCCTTCTATTTTCACTTTTTTTCTTGTCCTTTCCTTCTTTCTCGCACCCCCCTTGTTTCCCTTCTCATTTGAAAATTTTCTTCTCATTTCCCAATATCTACTACAATTTTAGTCCTTATTTTCACTTTCAGTTTCTCACACCAGAAAAACAATGTGGTAAACATATATGTTCCAGGGCTGGGGATTTAGCTCAGTGGGAACATGTATGTTCCATTTATTTCACTTAAGAGTATGGTCTCAAGGTGCATTCATTTAGTTATAAATGTCTTAAGCTCATCCTTTTTTTTTAAATCATGTTTCTGTTACACATGTTTATTTGTTAGTGTCTTGGAATTGAACAAACAAGTGAACCCATGTATATCACATAAAGCATTCAGCCTGGTGATTTTTTTGATGAGTCAACATTAATACAGCTTTTAAACTATGCTTTGCTGATTTCCTCTATCTTTGAGTCTTTTATTCCATTATCTCCAATCAGTCATTCTTGTCCTATGTATTAAGGGCAGATAGTAAATGGCTCTCTGTTCTGCATCATCTAATTGGATCATGCTGGTGTGACATCTGAATCTCTGCTTCATCTGGAGAAGCAAGCTCACATGAGACCGTAGTACTCAATGTTTCCTATAGAATGTGGTAAGCTTCTGAATATCAGTGTATTAGGGTTCTCCAGAAAAACAGAACCTGTCAGTCCAGAGCTCACAGGAAGAAAGGATTTTGTTTCCTGGTTCTGATGCTTGCCCTCTAGGCTCCTCCAGGGCTCACAGCTCCTCCAGGGTCTTACCACAGGACAGGTGGATTTCCCAGTGCCTGGCCTTGTGATATCTGTAGAACAAGGATCATTTCTTGCCTCTCTGATTCTGGTAGACTCATACATTCCTTTCCCTCTGTACATGTCTAAGATAGCGGCTTTCCATAATGGCCACTCTTTGTTACGCGGTCCACATCTTATAACTCATCCTTCTTTATAGCAGAGTAGTACTCCATTGTGTAAAAAACTCCACATCTTCTTTATCCATTCATCAGTTGGGCATTTGGGCTGTTTCCACAATTTAGCTATTACAAATTGTGCACATGGGTGTGCTTATATTGCTGAGGTATGATGCTTTTAATTCTTTTGGGAAGATAACAAGAAGGGAAACAACTGGGTTGAATGGAACCTCTAGTTTTGGCCAACCCATTTGAGACCCCTCCTGGGTCTGAGGAGCTATTTCTATTCCCCAATAAATTTTCCTACTCTTAAAAAAAAATAAGATAGCTGGGGGTTTAGCTCAGTGGTTCCACCACCTGCCTTGAAAGAGCAAGGTCTCCCCCCCCAAAAAAAGATAGCTAAGAGCGGCCGTGATGGTGCATGCCTGTAATCTCAGCACTTGGGAAGCTGAAGCAAGAGTATGGCCCGAATTTCAAGGCCAGCCTGAACTACAAGGCAAGACCTTGTCTCAAAAAATTAAAGCTAAACTAAAATCTAAAAAAATTGTTAAGCATGGGTGTAGAGACAATAAAGAAAACTGAGAATCTTGCCTAGTAGTAGTGCTTGTCACATTTCTGTTTGAGCAATTTCATCTGTGTCAAAGTTCTCAAATTGGGTCCCTACTGCCCAAATGCTCTCCTACCTCAGCCTTTGGGGAAGCACAGGTCCAAACTTCACGTGCTGGGCCTCTTCTTGATGAAAGCTGCTGCAGTCTGTATGAAGACCCATGAGGCACAGATAGCCTCTTCAGGGGGAGCCGGACTTTGCGGCTGGAGGGAGGGTCAGGATTAGTATCTGACTCTGTAGGGTGCTATGAATGAACACAAGAGCAGTGGCGGTGAACCTAGGACACTCGTGCTGCAGGGGGCTTTGAATCACACTGAAAGCTCTCAAAGGTTTGCCATCACTGACAAGATTATTTGAGTATCAAGCTACTCTAGCAGAGGCCTGAAAGCTGTCACTGAAGGCCTCATTAAAGTCACAAAGCAGGGAGAACTGGGCCGTCTGAGGCTCTCTTGCCCCAGCCACCTCCAAACATCTCTGCCAAAAGGCTTGTACTCCTCTCTGCGCCTGCAGCCCAGCACTCCAGTGGGTGGGTTCGGTACGTGGCCACCACAGAAATTTCTGCATCCGGGGAGGATCGGATCCTAGGCTCTATTACCCCAGCCAGTAGCAGCTGGAAGGTCATTTTTCAGTGCCTTGATTCTCCTTGGCTGGGAGCACAGGCCAGTAACGACCAATCCTGGTTTTGTGACCTTACTCTTGTGGGGTCCTCCACGCTGTTTTTTTTGTACCAGGGATTGAACTCAGGACCTTGCGCTTGCAAGGCAGGCGGCGGAACCACTGAGCTAAATCCCCGGCCCTTCGCTGTTCTTACCTGTAGTTCCATCCTTTTGTAATTCATCATCTTACTTCTCTTTTGGGGGTGATCCTCCTGCCTCAGCCTCCCAACTGGTGGGATTACAAGGCCTTTCCCTTCTCCTGGTTCACCATTGTTTACAAAGCTTATCTGACAGGATGATGGCATCTTTCTGTATAATCTACAAGTAAACCAAGACCAAAGAACATCAGGGAATGGGGATGTAGCTCAGTGGTAAAGCACTATGCACAGGGCGCTGGGTTTGATCCCAGCACTGCAAAAGACAGTAAGAACCTTTAACATACCCAGAAGAAAATAGTAATTTGCTTCTCCTCCAACCCTTTCAATTTCTCCTTTTCTTGGTGGTGCTGGGGATTAAACCCAGGGCCTCCGAACATGCTAGGCAAGCACACCACCACTGAGCTAAAGCCCAGCCCTCAACTTCTTAATGTAAATTTTTTTTTTTTTTAAACTGGGAATAGAACTTAGGGCCTTGGACTTGCCAGGCAGGTGTTGCACTGCTGAGCTACATCCCATGCTATGAAATTATCCCAATGCCCTAAAGAAAATCACTTTTCTGCTGGGCATGGTAGCACACATCTGTAATCCCAGCACTCAGGAGGCTGAGGCAGGAGGATTACTGTAAGTTCAAAGCCAGCCTGGGCTCCACAATAAGTTCAGGGCCAGCCTGGACTATGCAGCAAGACCCTGTCTCAAAAAAAAAAAAAAAATTATTTTTCTTTCTCAGAAGGAAGTGGGTAAGGGCAAACTTTCACAGAAAAGAAAGGGGAAGGCTGGGTGTGGTGGCACACACCTGTAATACAAAAGTACTCAGGAAGTTGATACGGGAGCGCTGTGAGTTTGAGGCCAGCCTGCGATACATAGTGAGTTCAAATCCAGTCTAAACTACATAGTGAGACCTTGTCTCAAAAAGCAAAGGTGGGGGGGGGATTGCAAATTGTTTATCTAACAGACAACTAAGAAGTAGTAAATGCCAGGGATTAGGTATTACAGGTTCAAAATTGCAGGGCTTGGGCTGGAGATGTAGTACATGGGTAGAGAGCTTGCCTTGCATGGTGCACTGGGTTTGATTCTATGCCACAAAAGTAAAACAAAGTGGCCAAGCTCAATCACTTGCAAAAATTAAGATTCACTATATAAAAGGCACGATATATTAATAATGCAAAGGCACAGGCACAGGCACCATGGCACATGCCTATAATCCCAGAGTTGGGAGGCTGAGGGAGGCATATCCCCTGGACAATTTTTTTTTGGTACCGGGGATCAAACCCAGGTCCTTGCGCTTGTGCAGCAGGTGGTGAAACCACTAAGCTAAATCCCCAGCCCTCTGCTCCCCTGGACAATTTAGAAGTTCAGGGCCAGCCTAGACTATATAGCAAGATCCTGATCAACCCCCAAAGCAGAGATTTAAAATAAGAAATTGCAATCCAACTTTCAAATGTTTTATTTTTAGTGTTTTTAAACATTTTAATACAACAAAAATATAAAATAATATATATTAGTTAAATCTGAATTTAATTTAGAATCAAGATATTTACTTATGTACAATGCTGTGCTTCAAGGTATGGCTACCACTTTCACATCTTAGGTAATACTTGTTTCTCTGTGGACAAGGAGACTTCTGGGTAGAATTCTCACAACTCAAACACACCCACTTTAGTCCAAACTCTCTCTGCTTCCCCACTTTTCCTTTCCTTGTTCCATATTAGAAATACTTCGTTGCTCTAACAAACCATGGCTTCTCTGAATGGAAAATTTTTAATGAAACATTTGTGACACTGCATTGCTATTATGATCTTGTGTTCTCCAGACAAGGCAGCAGACGCAGAGTGTGCTGAAACCGCAGCGCTCCTCTTCCTGCCAGTTTCGGCTCACAGCTTCCATGTGCCAAGGCACAGAGCGCACTAAATAAGAAGTCCTTTGGTTAGTTTGGAGTCTAATGTATTTTTTAAAAACAACTTATTGGTAGTTGAGATAACGGCTTACAGATTTCAGCTATGTGTACTGAACTTGACACGAAGGAGTTACTTGTGAGTTCTTTAAGTGTTGTTCACTTGGTGTGAGGTAACAAGGGAACCATGAGGGGAACTCAAGACAGAGGAAACAAACACAAACCAACTCAGCCTCTTCTGTTCTCACTGGTTACCTGAAGCATTCTAACCTTTGATGCTACCTGACAATTCTGCACCATATTGGTACAAGGGCAATTCAGACTAGACTTGCTTTTTTTTTTTTTTTTGGTACCGGGGATTGAACTCAGGACCTTGGGGTTGCACAGACTTTTTTTTTTGAGACAGAGTCTCACTATGCAGGCTAGGCTGGCCTTGAACTCACCATCCTTCTGCCTCCATGTCCCAAGTGTCGTGGTCACAGGGGTGTGCTACCATGCCCAGCTCAGGATAAACTTAACAGATACCAACTGTCTAAACTGCCCACTAAAGCTGTCATTAAAACTGACATGCTCTGTTGGGTTTGAAATTGCCTAAATGAGACCGAGACCGATATTGTTTTTAAAAAGCAAATAGGCTATTCTAAAAGAGCTCTCTTGACTTCAAGAACTGACAAATGACTATCCTGTAATTATTCTTAGTGTGGGATAACAGCAGTCTACAATAAGACAAATGTACTACTCAGAGAGTTTAAACAAGAGTATGTCTAACATCCGAAAGCATTCTGGATCTAGAAGCCTTGAAATTACCTTTTGCTGACTACAGTCAAGAGAGATTAGTGTTAGGAATGTGACTTTTTAAGTATATGAAGAATACTTCTAAATCGATGTTCCTCCAATAGACTTTTTTACCAGCTATGGAAGGATTTGGCTCCTCTGTTCCCCATTTATAAATCACAGGAGTGCTGGGATTCCTAGTCCTAACCTGCAGGCATAGACAGAGCAGGAGAGATCACTTCTGAGAAGGGTTAAGCTATCAGCAGGCCACCCTTACTTAAATGACTAGAACCAAGGCCAGGCTTACTACTTTCCAACTGGGAAGGATACTGATAAACAGAGCCAGCATACAGAAGTTGCATTTTTGCTCTAGAAATCAGAATTATGGGAAGGATGCTGTGTTGAGAATTGAGCACAGCGAAGAGACATTTCCCCTGAATTATCTGATGGTAACATCAAACTTGCCTTCTTCAAAACCTCTTACTCCCTACCAACTTCAATTACCTCTCAGTAACACTACCCCGTCTGGTTCTCAAAATATGAAGAAAAAAAAAAAAGGAAAAAAAGGCAACATTGCTCCTGAGATCACAGACAATGCTTCCAGGACTTCTGACAAAAACTCCAGTTTGCATTTCCAAACCCAACCCTTTGGGGTTCCCTCTGTACTAAGCTCCCAAGGAAGAAGGCCTCTCATAAATCTGCAACTGTAGAACCAAATGTGGTTAAAAACAAAAGGTAGACACAAGGCCTGCATTTTCTCCACCCAGCCACATTCATGTACAAATGTAAACATAAAGGCTATCTTCACTACAATTAAGATTTCTTTTTTTTTTTGGTACCGGGGATTGAACTCGGGACCTTGTGCTTGTGAGGCAGGTGCCAGAACCACTGAGCTAAATCCGTGGCCCTACAATTAAGATTTTAACAAGAAAAAAAACATAAAGACAAAAAAAAAGAGGAAATTTCTGGACAAAACAAAAATGACTAAACTATGGGTTTTACATTTTTAAATGACAGAAATAATTTTTGTCTCAAAGATTTCCAAGAAAAGGGCCCGGGATTTTTAGCTCAGTGGTACCATGCCTGCCTTCCAAGTGTAGGATTCTCAGTTTGATCCCTGGTACAGAAAAAAGTTTTCCAAGGAAGGCCTTGAGATGATTAATTTATGTAAACACTGCCTTGTAATAGTTAAAACAATAAATTATGAATCTAGCTTACTTTTTTCTCAAAATAGGAGTAAATGCAAGCTGGAAAACTTATTGTACAATTATCACTGAAGTCTGCTGTTAGGTACTCTCATTGTCAAAAGCTCCGCAAATTTAGTTGCCCTATTTTTCTAGCTTTTCCTACAATGGAATCTATATGAAGGAAAGAAGATATTCACCATTAATAGCTATTTAACATTTAAAATTAATATTGCCACAGAATTTTTTTGGAACATATTACCAAAAGCCAGTATCAGTTCTTCCCTGGCTAAATTCAGCACTGTTCTGTCATTTAGGGGAAAAAAGAAGTCAATAACATATCTTTTGACCTCAAGGGTCAAACCACTCCAAGGAGCATAGGAAACATCCTTTACCCTTCATGATTATGCAACTTTCTTTGATCACATGTTGGCATTTTTGCCCCTAGCACATAACAGAACCAAAAATTTAAGATACTATAAGATTCTGAATATAAGATTTTAAAACATAATAAATGGGCCACGGATTTAGTTCAGTGGTTTCGTCGCCTGCTGCGCAAGCGGCAAGGACCCGAGTTCAATCCCTGGCACCAAAAATAAAAAATGAAAACATAATAAAATTCAAATTGCCTTGTATCATTTCTCAAGTGAGAAATAAATTATGTTCAGAACAGACTTGAATTAGGGTCACTCAACACTGGCTGAAACTTCTACCCATAATATTCCTTTCCTACCCAATTCATTCAGGCTCCTCTGTAGCTTATGCAGGAGTAGGACTATGATTCAAAATGCAAAAATAAAATATTTCACCCAGATAAGGAAGGAGCAGGCTTTCCTGTGGCATAACTTTAGGCCTCAGTATTCCAGCACCTCGGCTAACTCCTTGTTAGAAATGGAATGTAAAAACTACACAATGGATATTCTAAGTGGCTAAATTCATCAGTTGGGAGTCAATTTCCAATTCTACAATCTACTTCTGTCATAACGGCTATGTAAAAAAATCATTAAAAATAAAGTGACAAATGTTCTCACAGAGGTGAGGTTATTTAAGATATTAAATTTCTAGTGTTGTGAACAGCAGTTAATTTGTATCATTTCCTGACTGCAGAAAGAATGTATGTACACAATTGCTTTTACAAATGAAAAGCAACAAAGCTTTCTCTTTGTATCCAAATACGCCTCATACTGTTTACTTCTGATGGCCAAGAATGAGAAATTTCAAAAAGTTAAAAGTTAACACTATGCCTACAACTTGTTATTCATTTCTTTTCAGAAGAAGAAATTCTTTGCATGCGTACTTCCCTACTTACTTCCATAAGAACTTAACCTCTGGTAAAACACTATTTGGCTCATTAAAGAACATCACTTAAAAAAGTATTACATTGGGCTGTCATCAGTCTAGCAATGATAGCACAGAGTTATTCCATGTACCTATACCACTAAAATTATTATTTTTATGAATGCAGCCATATTTTTCCTCAGGAGTACTTGCTGACATTCATACTGAACCTGCAGAACAAAATACGAGCTGCATCTTTCGTTACATCTTTGGTGAAAAATGCCAGCCCTATACCCACATCAGTGCGAAGCCCCACAACACCTTGTCAGCATTCTGGTCACCTCATGGATGACCCCTTTCGTTCCCTTGTTTCAGGCATGTTGTATGCTCACTAAACTTTCTTAAAGGTAATTCAGAAGGCAAAACATATTTGTCAATAAAACAAATCACTTTCCAGACAGACACAGATAATTAGTTCAAAGAACAAGTATGCTCACGCTGTACATACAGTTTTTTCTTTTGAAGATAAAGAGCTTTAAAAATATCATTTCTTAACTAGTGTATTGCTGGAAACTCACAAAAAATCCTTCATCCAGCAAGCTGCTTATACTGATTTGCTTAAGTTCAATAAACAAATACTCAATGGTAAGAACAATAGCCTGACTTCAAACATTTGAATCTTCCTAAAATGAAGGGCAGAGAACCTCTACTTAAGCTTTCTGTTCAAACAGCTAGGTAAGGATTCTTCATTGTTCTTTCTTGCTTTTTACAATCACAGCCTTGTTCAGAACTGGGAACTCTGTCAATATATAAGCCAAAATGCAACACCAAGAACAACCTAAGGAGAGAAAGCAAAGTTATTCAACAACTACTGTATACTTAATCACAAACTCATTACAAAGATAACTTCATCCAATTAGTCTTTTCATTATCGCTGGTTTTGAAAATGGCCAACAATATTCATTAGGTACCGTGCCATTAACATTGCATTCAAAAAAAGAAAACATGGGAAACCAAATTCTTGCTCTCCTGCTCTGGTGATAAGCTCTGGTGTTGGCCAGAGTATGGTAGTACAGAAAGAGTCTCGTTGTGATATAAAAGGCAATGAACACATCGATGGAATAATGTTCATGGGCAGCCAAGATGAAGAAGATCCCAAAGAGATTGAGAACCCAGGACAAGGTGTGCAAGAAATTCCAGCTTCTTGGTGTATCTAGAAAAAGGACAGAAAGGTCAATCTAAAACCACATTCCTTCCCAGGCTTCTTAGTCACATGTTTCTTAGATCAAGTTTTTTCGCTCATTAGTCACGGGACCTCACAACTTTCCCACAGCCCGTTCTGCAGCAAATTATCCATCACGCACAGAAACTCTGGAGATACTTACATTCAGTGACGAAGAAATTCAGCATAGTTAGGACGACTGTGTGGCCACTGAACATGTAATCTCCACAAGTGTGAACGCCAGTCAGGGTCATACCAAAGCCACTCCAGATGGCAAAGGCCCGGTGTAATTTCTCCCACACACTGCCATATATCTATAAAGAAAGCTATGAATTAGTACTTCAAGTGCTTAGAAAGATAAGAGCTTCCCAACATCCATTCCTGTTGAAATTCAAATAAGGAATGACTTAGAAATAAGAATTCCAGGCACACCTCAAGAATGGGTGGGTGGTCAGCTAAGCATGGTAGTGCATGCCTGTAATCCCAGCTCTGGGGTGGGTGGAGGCAGGAGGATCTCTGCAAGCTGGAAGCCAACCTAACATAATGAGTTCAAGGCCAGTCTGTACTACAAAGTGAGACTCTGTCTCAAAAAACCAAATCACCCCCCACCCCAAACAGTGGTGGTAGTGGTCAAAGCTTACCTATACTCAAAATATTTGGCAATTAAATGAAATCATTGCAATTCAAAATCCTTTATAATAGTGCCTTTATAATGAAAAGATCACTAAGATAAAAACATCTCCACGTTTTTAATCCGATATCAGAGTAGTGTTTCCTTGACTAGCCAATCACTAAAAATAGGCTGTGACAGAGATCAGTATTCAGTATCCATTCTTCCATTCTTCACTGGTTACAGAAACCCAAATATATTAATGTGGCCATGCACTCAGCCAGAACAGTGTTTGCTCCCCAGCCTTCCTTCCAGCCCAGTGTGGCCACGCAACTAGGTCCATATAATAAGGTGTAAGCAAAGGGTAAAGGATTTCTAGGCAGCTGTTTTTATTTTGTTTTTTAAATTTTGGAGACAGGGTCTCGCTATGTAGTTCTGCCTGACCTTGAACTCACTATGGAGCCTAGGCTGGCCTCGAACTCACAGTGATCATCCCACCTCAGCCTCTCCATGCTAGCATTATAGGCATGTGATACCCTGCCCGGCTAGCTGTTAAGGTTTTTTTTTTTGGTACCGGAGACTGAACTCAGGACCTTGTGCCTGTGAAGCAGGCGCAGTGCTGTTATAGTTTTAATATGGAGTGTTCCCCAAAGACACATATCGAGGGCTTGATCCCCCACTGCAACAATGCTCAGAGGTGGAGCTGAGAAAATAACTGGATCCTAAGGGCTTCAGCCGGGTGATGAGGCTGCAGTGTGATGGGAACAGGAGGCAGTCCTAGTGGGTGGCAGTGGGACAGCGGGGAGTGTGACCTTGGGGACTATATGGGCCCAGGTCCCTTCCTCCCTGGCTTCCTCACCCTCTGTGCTTCCTGGATGCCATGAAGGGAGCAGCTTTTCTCCATTACACCCTTCTGCCTCACTACAAGCAGAGAGGCAATTCTGCCAGTCAACCAAAATCAATCTTTCTTCCTTTGTTTTTATCAAATACTTGTTTACAGTGAAGATCTGACCAACAAAGAAGCTATTTATAAAGAAAGCAGACAACAGCTCCCAGGAGGTTTATCATTCCTCTCCTCCTCCTTTTAGCCTCAGATACAGTGAGTTCTTGTAGCCATCAAGACCACAAAGTGACTTCAAGGATGCAAACCAAAGGTTAAAACAGCACAGCTGAAAAAAGGATTTCATCATGGGCACATCATGGGTTTTTTTGTTTATGTATGTATGTATTTATTTATAGTCCAGGCTGGCCTTGAACTCACTATGCAGCCCAGGCTGAACTTGCAGTGATGCTCCTGCCTCAGCCACCCAGGTGCTGGGATCACAGACATGCACCATTATGCCCAGGCATCATGGGTTTTTTTGGTACTGGGAACAAACTCGGGTCCTTGCGCTTGCGCAGCAGGTGGCGAAACCACTGAGCTAAATCTTCGTCCCCATCATGGGTTTTTGATGACTCCATAAGGTTATTATACCAGACCAGATTTCTTTCTTTCTTTCTTTTTTTTTTTTGGTACCAGGGATTGAACTCAGGACCTTGGGCTTGCAAGGCAGGAGCCGGAACCACTGAGCTAAATCCC